CCACTCCTGTCTCACTGTCCCCCCGACAAACTGCCTCCACCTGCTCTACTTCCCTCCCCTGTCCCATTGCCCCCCATCTGTCACACTGCCCCACACCTGTTCCACTTCCCCCCTCCTGTCCCCAACATTGTCCCACTACCCCCGCCATCTCTCCCCACTACCCCCCCACCTGTCCCTCTGCGCTCTTCCTGTCCCGCTACCTTGATCCTGATCCTGTCCCATGCCTCCTGTCATGCTGCCCCCCACCTGTCCCTATGCGCTTTTCCTGTCCCACTGCCCCCCACCTATCCCTCTGCATTCCTCTTGTCCCACTGCCCCTATCCTGTCCCATGCATCCTGTCATGCTGCCCCCCACCTGTCCCTCTGCACTTCTCCTGTCCCACTGCCTCAATCCTATCCCATGGCCCCCATCATACTGCCCCCCACCTGTCCCTCTGTGCTCCTCCTGTCCCACTGCCCCTTACCTGTCCCTCTCCATTCCTCCTGTCCCGCTGCCGCAGTCCTGTCCTATGCCCCCGTCACGCTGCCCCCCACCTGTCCCTCTGTCCCTCTGTCTCCTCCTGCACTCCTCCTGTCCCACTGCCCCACACCCCTTTCCCTCTGCACTCCTCCTGTCCCTCCACTGCCCCTCACCTGTCCCTCTGCTCTCCTCCTGTCCCAATCCTGTCCCATGCTCCCCATCACGCTGCCCCCCACCTGTCCCTCTGGACTCCTTCTGTCCCTCTGCGCTCCCTCCTCCTGTCTCACTGCGCTCCTCCTGTACCGCTGCCACGATCCTGTCCCATACCCCCCGCCACGCTGCCCCCCACCTGTCCCTCTGCCCCCCACCTGTACCTCTGCCTATCCACCCATCACGCTGCCCCCCATCATGCTGCCCTCCCCCCTGTCACGCTGCCTCCCTCTTGTTCTGCTACCCCCCCCCCCCCCCCCACCTGTCCCAATGGCCTACTCCTGTCCTGATATCCCCCGTCATGCTTCCCCTCTCCTATCCCACTTCCCCTTTCCTGTCCTGCGGCCCCCCATCACGTTGCCTCCCTCCTGTCCCACAACACCCCCCCCCCCCATGTCACACTGCCCTCCATCATGCTCCTGACCTGAAGAGGTGGATCTTAAACAGCAAAGGGAGGGACACATTTAGATGGGGGTGCCCGATTTTATTCTTGCCTAGGGCAGCACAAAACCAAAATACACCACTGACCATATTAGGAACTTTTGGCATCACAGGACTCCAGCTGCAGTTTCTAGTTAAAGGGACTTATTTATTTTTAAGGCTATTGTTACTCTAACAAGGATACCTACATATATTTCTGCAGGAGTATACATTTGTGTAGGATTTTCTGTATGCCCTTGTAACACCAGTGGCCCTGAAGGAGCTGGTAAGCCAACAAGTTTTCTCTCCCCCCCCCCCTCTTACAACTGGTATTGCATTTAAATGGCTGACGCTTACTTCACATAACAGTAGAATCTGTTAAGCGTTGCTGATTGACTGTTCCTATTCTACTAGTGTTTCTGAGCATCTGCAGTTTTCCATGCACATGCAGAGACTGTGATCAGGGAAATCTTAAAACGTCCCTGTCTTTGCACATGCGTGGTAAATCATCTGCGTGTGGGCAGATGAGTAGACAGGCTCTGCCAGGACCCCCGACGCTCGGGCAGCGCTTGTGGGTACATCTGCTCATGTGCCATAATGGGGGGCCTGGGGGGGGGGGGGGGCGGAGCCACCTGAAGCGAACTTTGCTTCTGGAGAAGTTCTGCTTCAACTCTTCTCCACTCTATCCAAAATGAACAAATACTATATTTGGAGTATATCTAGGAGTTAGACTTTAAAGCAACAGTTCAGCTACAACTATGAACATGGTCTACTCTCCCCGATCTGCATAAAATGTTTAACTAGCCAAAGCACGGTAAACTAATAAATTTCACATTTGAGTCTTATATTTCCGTCATCATATAAATCACAGCACAAATGAAGCCGGCTTCTTCCATGAACACCAGTAATGTGAGCTGAAATGGCAGTTAAGCTGCTCCGTAATAGGAAGCACAGTAATAGCATTGTATGTTTACAAACTCAGGGTATCTTTCATTAACTTGTACATGTCTTTAATTTAAACTGCTTTCATCTTATAATATATGAAACAACCTAGATTCAAAGACTCTGGCAGTAGCTGGGGAATGGTTTGAAATAGGTTATGATAATAACTTCCAGGTGGCACCATGCTGAACAGAGGAAGACACATCGGACAAGGAGCGGACCTGGCATGATTGAAGTAGCATGGAGTTCAGCTTCTCATTCTGCAAGAGGCCACATAATTACTAGTGTTCAGAAAATGTTATAGGCCGAAGATCAGGTTCAGAACATACATCAATATATCACTTTTTCTTGTTTTTTACTCCACGCCGCTCCTCCCCACCGAAACCCATCCGAAATAGCATCATGTGACCACTAAACAAGAGGAATACATATGGAGGCCATACAACTCAAAATGATTTCAAGGTTAAAAAAAAAAGTCAACTGGAAATAACACAGATGCTCTCATTTCTGACCCCTTCTAAAAACACTAGTTACCCGGCTGTCTTTGGCTGCAATGCGTTATTAAGTCCAGAAACCAGAAAGTACAGAAGCCAATATATTATCCAGGGAGCTAGTATTTTCACAAGTCAGCATTGGCATCACCCCTAACTAATGTTGGTAAAATTGAATTTTAGTTGAAATGACCACTTTTGCAAATTTTTTCCAAAGCAGAAAATCTCAATTCTGCACATTAAGTTGCTGAGGTGAAATATGCTTGAAGGCTTGGTTCACATATATGCATTTTGCTTTCTCCGTGCGTTTTGTGTTTTTCTACACGTTTTGATGCATTTTTACCGCTTTTGTGTTTTGTTCAGCTTTTTTTTTTGTTAAAGTGGATTTTTTTTTGTTACTGGGCAGAATAAAAAATGCAAAGCGTGGCAATAACGGGACATAAACGGGGCAAAAACGCACTACCATGCATTTCAGCAGCTTCTCCATTGAACGCTATTGTAGCAAAAATGTTGCTTTTTGCTTTTAAAAAAAAAAAAGTCCCTGACCCTTTCCAAAAATTCAGCGGCTCAAAAATGCATAGATGTGAACATGTTGCGTAGGAAACCATGTTAAAATGGACTGTATTGACATTAGTGCAAATTGATTGCCATTGATGCTCTTGAAGTGTGAGCTGTTGCTCTGTCCTGTTGGAACCAAATGTCCCCTAAGTCCAATTCATCAAGTCGTGGAAAAACAAATTCCTCCAACATGTTCACATACCGGTCTGAATTCACTTATTCAGTATATGGACAATGGGGGGCGTCACCTACCTGATATGATTTTCAAAACTGTGTAAAACAGAAACTTTAGATATGTACCTACATTATTAAAGACAATAAAAACAATTCTGATTCATAAAATGGGTTTTATTGCATTTTGAAAAAAGGAAGTAATGTTGCTGCACCCTGTATATTTAGATTGGGGTCACACTCTCATGCCGAGGTAGCATACTTTACATACATAGTTGCGACACCATTCTCAACCAGGGTTCCGTGGAAGTGGAACTCTAGAGTTCCTCCAGGGGTTGCTTGAGCTGTGGCTAACTGACCTCTCATCTGATGGTGCCTGCAGAGTTCCATGTCCAACATCACTTGGTAGAGCTAGAAGTGTGACTGCAAGGGAGTCATTTTGGCCACCATTGTAAGGGGGCATTCTTTTCACATACCACCATCACTGTAGAGGCATTTTCCCAATGTTCCTGATGGACTAACCTTACTAAGGGTTCCCTGAGAACAGAAAATTATTTCAAGGGTTCCTCTGGGGTAAAAAAGTTGAGAAAGGCTGCTCTAAGGCAACCCACCTGTGCTGCAGCGAGCTGCATTTCACAGTAACACACTACCATGTGTTGCATTCCCAGAGAAGGCTCAGTTGCAGTTTTTTTTATAGGGGTCAAGTATAGTTTTAGGCAAAAAAAGAACATGCTACCTAAATTCAGCAAAGGTTGCTTTGGAACTTAGCACACATGCCTTAGCCACAGGACAAATGTGAACCTGGCCTTAGGGTAGTTGAATTTATTTAGTGTTCTTCATATTTGTGGGGGTTTTTTCCCTTTTTGTTTTTTATTATTTGTGTACTTAATTTTTAGCAATGTGTGCCTTTGCTTTCTATAAAAAATAGTAAAATAAAGAGGCTATTGAAGTTCAGAATAAGTGAAAGGATCTTCTGTAACTCTCATGAGACATTAAATTGACCCTGTCACCAGAGTCACTCGATAGGCCACCTGTACAAGAAGAAGTAATATACTTACCATGTACGTATATTATGGTCTGTGTACAGGACATAGGAGGCAGAAGGAGGAACCACAGCAACTGGCAGTGGGAGCCATCTGGGGAGTGGAGATGCGGTGGATTTTCAATGCGTGGGCTATTGGAAAGGTAATTATATCACTTCTTTTACAGGTGGTGCTGTGAGTAAAAGTGACACCATTGGGACAGGATCACTTTCAAAGTCCATTGCACCCTTAAAAACCATCACTCATCATTTGAATTTCACCTTTTCTATTGAACACAATGCATTTAGCCCAAATGTTGAAATCTCACAGAAATCTCCAGATTTTTATTGAAAATGTGGGGAAAATGAAAACTCTCAATTTAACTCTTTCCTACTCAGTGCAGATTTCCTTTAAATGGTTGGCACCTTCAAAGCTAACTGCCACGGAGTCTGGTGTCACTAGGGTCAACAACTAACAGACAGGAGAGATGCACATAGAGTTCATTAAAGTGTTACTAAACCCACAACAGTAAAATCAGTCTGTATATGTAGTAAAGCATGCTTGTTATATTCACTGTGGAACCTAAGGAGTTAATACTCCATATTGTGTAAAAAGGCGGGTTGATCCTGTCTTCTCTGATCCTCCCCTTCTTCCACAGTCACAGATATAGTGAATGCACGGTCCTGGGAGAGCAGATATAGTGAATGCAGGGTCCTGGGAGAGCAGATATAGTGAATGCAGGGTCCTGGGAGAGCAGATATAGTGAATGCAGGGTCCGGGGAGAGCAGATATAGTGAATGCAGGGTCCTGGGAGAGCAGATATAGTGAATGCAGGGTCCAGGGAGAGCAGATATAGTGAATGCACGGTCCTGGGAGAGCAGATATAGTGAATGCAGGGTCCTGGGAGAGCAGATATAGTGAATGCAGGGTCCTGGGAGAGCAGATATAGTGAATGCAGGGTCCGGGGAGAGCAGATATAGTGAATGCAGGGTCCAGGGAGAGCAGATATAGTGAATGCAGGGTCCAGGGAGACCAGATATAGTGAATGCAGGGTCCAGGGAGACCTGATATAGTGAATGCAGGGTCCTGGGAGAGCAGATATAGTGAATGCAGGGTCCTGGGAGAGCAGATATAGTGAATGCAGGGTCCTGGGTTTAGTAAACACTTTAGCATGCTGTAGAGAAGGGCCCTTGCTCTCTTTGTGCAAGCAGTGGTTACATTGCAGAGGTTTGACATGCCCCTGCTGAGTCGGACCTATAGCTCTCCAATCTGCAAAGCCCATGCTCCCTGCTGCTTGGAGAGATCTAACACTGATTCAATAGGATTATGTCAGACCTTTGCAGAGAGACCACTGCTTTCACACACAGAGCAAGGGTCCTTTCTTTGCAGTAGGCTGGCAGGGGACAGGCTTTTCTACAGAGACTGTGGCTGTTTTCTAAAGAAAATAACGTTAAGGTTTCGCACATCTGTTGTTCTGGTGCCCCTGAACTATTGGGAGGAGGAAGAGCAGAGTCTGAGTATGTGACAAAAAATTGGATTAAAGAGATGTGCGGCTTCTGTTCATAGACCCTGCTTGGTGCTTGCACCCACATTTGGACGAATGTAGCCAGGGGTCTACCTAGGAGCAATAACATGTTGTGGGAGTTTCCCTGTAACAGAATATATTTAGATAACTTAAACTGAATGTTCAGTTCACCTTCCATAACATGTTACACCCATGTTCAGATAATGAATGTACCAGCCCCCGATTCCCGCTTTGACAGCTAGTGGGGGATCTTCTCTCCCCTTGCTAGCTGTCAGATTTTTAAAAAATCCGGCCGTGCGGGGCTCCGCCTGCCTTGCTGCATCACTCATTCAATGTGTTCTGTGAATGAGAAACTAACTAAGTCCTGACAGCCTTAGCGACTGTTGGCTTGTAGTTCTCAATGAACTGCCTTTGGGCTGTGGAGCGCCATGGTAGTTCATTGAGTCTTCCTGTCAGTATATCTGCTTGACTGTACATACATAGGGCAAGCAGATATACTGACAGATCTGCAGGAGGCCTGCCTGGCACCAGCAACCTGTTGATCGCTGGTGCAATGCTTACAGGCTCCTGCAACCAAAAATAATAGATGCACATTTTTTTACCTGCAAGTATAAAGGTGATCTTATCCTTTAAAGGAATCTTTCTGAAAATTCTAGTTGTCAGGTTGTCACACCAGTCCAGTGACCACAATGAATGCTTGCTGAGTCACAGATCCAGAGCAAGCTTGTCATGCAGTCAGAGTGAAGTGAGAACTGATGAATTTTAGGTCAGTGGCTCAAAAATATTGAAGCCATTGGATTAGTGTGATGACCAGGACACCAGCATTTCCAGAGAAGTAGAGAATTAAACTAAAATCCACCAGAATTCAGAGGGATCTGTAGAGTTATTGTGTAGTTACATCCACGATGGCAGAGTTTGCTGTAAAGCAGATTATCCCTTTAATGTCGAGCTGCCTTTGTTCATAAAATATTCAGACAGCTATGGAGACAACTTGCAAAAGCAGCACGGCTGGAATTTAAAGCTTTGAAGTTTGCTGAGGCCCTTTATCAATGTGCTACTAAAGTGTCCATAATCATTTCAGCAGAGTTTATGTTGGCTGCTCTTGCAAATCTCAAAAGTCATGATTACATGGCGAAGATGAGTTTCTTATGTAATTCCAAGTCATATCTAATCTAGTTAATTCTAACACGCATATTTCAGTTGGCTGCAGTTTTAAATGACTGGGAAAATACAAATGATCTGTTGGGAAAAATTATGAGAACATTTTTTTTATCATTGCAGAACTCATTAGAGGAAAAAAAGTGCAATTGAAAACAAATATAATCTAGATGGATTAGATGAGTCTAAAATGTGCATGTACCAGTAGGAGCTTTCCTTTCTGTACTGCATAAACCTAACTGTGTGTATATGTGTGTGTATATATATATATATATATATATATATATATAATCTTGTTACAATTTTAAGCCGAACGCCAGGGTGGGCATAAAGTTTTACCACCCACGCCACCCCTGCATTTTTTCAGTATACGCACATTTTTCAGTCTTTCTTATCTGCAGTCTCCTTTCCTACTATGAGTCCAGATTGGCTTGATGATGTCCCCCAGGGGGCAGATCCTTCCTGGGCTCACAGGACGTAGGTTGAACAATACTGGAAGGAAAATAAGCCTTGGGGGGACAACACCAGAGAAGAGGTGAGTATAGCAGTGACAGCGGCTTGTTTTAACCACTCCATTTCAGTTTAAATTAGAACTGGTTTTTCATTGGTATAAAGACACCCCACCCCCCCCCCCCCCTTTAAAGAATATCTCTAGGCAAATTTTTTTTTATCTTTAGATAGAGTAGGGAAGGATTAAAACATCCATCAAGGATTCATTTCTGTCTGTGGTCCTGGGGACATTAAGGCTGGTCTCTAGGTATTAACCAAACTGTACCCTTGTAGTGTCCCTGGCCCCACACTGCATGGGTTAAATACTCATTAAAGAAAACTGTTGTCTTTTTTTTTTTTCTTTTTATGTCCACAGCTACAGACACTGTAGCTGCTAACTTTTAAAAAATCAGATACATATCAGTGCCTGGAGTGCAGGACTACTGCAGGTCACCGGAGCTGCCATCTTGCATATGGGAGCCTCAGGAAGCCAAAGCCGGTTCCCCATTGCACAGGCACAAAACCTGTGCGTCACTCTGTGAATGGTGCTGTAATGTCCTGGGATGTGTGACATGTCCCCAGAGGCTCCAGAATGGATAGGGGCAGGGCAAGTGGCATTATCCTCGCCTAGGCAAGGATTGTGGAAGTGGGAGCAGGTACTGATAAAAATTGGTACTCGTCCCTCTCCCCCAAAAAAATTAATAAATCAGTTGGGGCTGGGGAAGGGAGTAAACCAGCAGTACTTAATTTTTTTGGTGAATTTCCGCTTTAAGTCTAAGGGGGAAATGAAGAGGGTGTACTACTTACCCTACCCCTGCTCTGAGCAGCTCTGGCGTTCTCCTACTTCTCCCCAAAGCTTCAGCTGGGGATGGTCCCTCAAGGTCATTATGGCTAGTCTAGGCATTGCTGGACCGCTCTTGGATCAAGGGAGCCTGCCAAAGCAGGAATTAAGGTAAATATTACTCCTGATTCATGTACACCTGGGTCTAACGAGCAGCTAACCATTGAAGTTTGAGGCGGCCCCAAGGGCAGACTTTGGCTACATCCGGGAGCTTAATTTTAACCCTCTCTATTTGTTATAGTGACCATTGTCACCTGGACAGAAAATGATGGGAAATTCAACATTTTGCTGCTACCATCTAAGCAGATGGCTCAGTGAAGTCTTCCAAATGGAGCATCTGTCAACAACTGTATCACTTTGGAGAGATTTGCACTCAACTCTTGCTGTGTCTCCAAGGCAGGTAGTAAAGAAAAATCTCCCCGAACAGGACAAATTCAACAAACAATCTCTACAGAAAGTCTATCCATACCTTTCTGTGTCCAAGATTAAAAGAAGGTTTTCTCTAGGGATATATTTAAAATCTCAAATGACTACTTTGATTCTAGAAAATGTTTAGAACAAGAAATGTCTTGTTAGTACTTTCATGATACTATTATCTCTAGCTTCTGGGAGAGATGGGGCTGGTTCACAGAGATAATGGAAGTGAGTAACATGTAGGCACCGAGAAGTCTTAATGATTTCCCAAAAATACTTTGCACATATCTTATGCGGTTAGAGAGATATACATAGCAGTTTACATTCCATTAAGGAATTACTAAACACAGATAGACTATCCAGGGTGCCAGTAATGAGCACTGAACCATGCAGGTCTACTTGCAGCATGAGAAAAGCACATGTTTACTGTACAGCAACTTTATATTAGACTTTTATCAAAAACTTAGTTGTTCAATTGATCTTTTGTTAAAAAGACATATATGGAATACTGAGTGCTTATGTGTTGTATAGAAGTGCAATGCCCCACAACCCTTTCCCTGAAGCTCCACAGAAGAGCAAAGCACATCTGGCCAAAGAAGAAAGTATAAAAAGCTACTTACACCTAGTTACAGAGTCAATTTAAAACAAGCCCTCAATGACCTCTGTGGCTACAGACACTGTGGAGGCATTCATCTTTAAAATTCACAAAACCGATGCATTAAAATCACAGCTTCTCACCTCTCGCTTCCTCTTGCAGCAGAGACCTGTTAGCCTTGCAACCTTCTACTTAAACTAACACTAGGTGGTGTAAGCTGTTCAGAAATCCACTTTTCTGCACTTTATGGATTTATTGCTCCACAATGCTTCCTCTTGCAGCAGAGACCTGTTAGCCTTGCAACCTTCTACTTAAACTAACACTAGGTGGTGTAAGCTGTTCAGAAATCCACTTTTATGCACTTTACGGATTAATTGCTCCACAATGCTTGCTGATACAGAGGTCAGTGACAACTTTGCTCAGAGAGGAGTTTTAATAAATACATAGTTGCATCAATTGGTGTTTTGTCACTTGAGGGAAGCCATTGCTAGGTATTTCTGCTGTGTTTCCTCCGACATAGGTTCAAGCATACACGTTCACCTGATGCAAATAAATGAACCAAAAAGAGCAAAAAACAGTTGTCTTAAGAGTCCTAAAACATGTCTACTACTTAGTAATGTTGTACTACAAGGTTTTAAGATTGTTTCGGTTATTTTACGTTTTTAATGTTTTTTCTATACCTCCTGTGGCTTTAGAAATATTTATATCTTTGTCATTTGTATTGTAGCTCTAATGAATGGGGAGTTTTTTGACCATTGAAATGTGTTGTGGTTTTTGGACTCTCAAGATAATTGTTTGGTGTCATTTTTAGTTGGATTTCTTATTTTCGTTGACCTCTTTGTCTTGGAGGGCCCCCGTTTTGTGGAAATCTGCTGATCTCAAGCCATTAGGCTCAACCAATCATTCCCTTTGATGAGTTATAGATTGTTTGTACAACAATCCCTTATTAGAATTATTGTTTAGCAGCCAGATCATAAAATGTACTGCAGGTACAGTATCTCACAGAAGTGATTACACCCCTCACATTTTTGTCAATATTTTATTATATCTTTTCATGTGACAACACTGAAGAAATGACACTTTGCTACAAAGTAAAGTAGTGAGTGTACAGCTTGTATAACAGTGTAAATTTGCTGTCCACTCAAAATAACTCAACACACAGCCATTAATGTCTAAACCATTGGCAACAAAAGTGAGTACACCCCTCA